GAGTAATTCGTTGGTGCTTGCCCTTCAGTAAGTAGTTCGGATGGCTGGATACATGCTACGCTCTGCCACGCTTGCCTGACCGCGAGAAGCCTTAGGGTAAAATAATCTTGAACAGCAATTTGAGAGCATCTTTGGAATTGAAAGAAGGGGCTAACCTGACTTTCACTTTCATAAAAAGAGAAAACTGGACTTGCACTTTAAGAAATGGAATTGCGATGAGCCAGAAGTTAGAATCTCGCCTAACCACCTGTCTCCGTCTCCCGTAGTTCCCCCCAGAAACATCCGTTTGCCTACTTCTACTCTGGCCGGGGGTAACAGTCTTTTTGAGAACCAAGTGGCCCTTGAGGAAGACCTTCAGAAAACCCCTCTAACTCGGGGAAAGGAATTCAAGCCCATAAAATGAGTCAAGTCTATGATAGGTACCAATAGTCTTTATGGCGCTCTTACCCCTTATGCAAAGCACCAATGACTTCGGTCTTCTGAAAGGGGCTTAGGGCATATCATCAAAGAAAGAATCCCGAGGAAGGGGGTGAAGCTGAGGTTAGAAACGGTTTCTCCCGCTGTTGCTAGTTCTTCCGTTGTTGGTAGTTCCTCAGGTCGGGTTGTTTATTTTTCAGAGCTTTTTCAATTCTTTCAGAACCTTTCGTATGCGCCTATTGGAAGATTTGGGCTACCTCCTCTCTTTCCGATCTCATTCAGATAATAAGCCAGTCCGGTTTATTAGATAGTGAGTGGGTAAGAGAGGTGCTTGGTCTGTCTCCGAATGTGGGCCTAGAAGCATTAGCCGAGTCTCTGAATATTCCCGAGGGTTCTCAGGATAAAGACAGCCTTAAGGTGCTAACGGAGCTTCCACGGTCTCAGTCCATGAAGGTGCTTGCTTTATTGGTTGGCAGCTTGGTTATAGTCGTTATGAAGAATGAAGGAGCGACGAAGGAGCTCACTTCCACGACATGGGAAAGGATCATGGGATGAGGAAAAGAAAGAAAAGGTGCAAGGTGAGGAGATATCGAGAGGTAGAATAGGTGAAATGAGTTCAAAGGAATTAGTTAAGACACGCTTCTTTAGCACAGGCCACGGAGTGAAGTTGGAAGGTTCAATGAACTACGCGAAGGGGAAATCTTGGGCGCTATTGTTGTCTATATACAAGTGGCGTAGGCGAAGCTGTGGCGACTCGTGGAGTAGACAGCGAGCTCCGCTTGAACAGAAAGCAGCAAGCTGCAAGCACTACTCCAAAAGCAGTGAGCTCCGCAACAAAAGCGAAGCGAGCCGCGGTAGCCTATTAAGTTTTTCAGCTGCATCGTACCGTACTATGGGAGGGGTCCGTACCTCCTTTAGATAGAGCCCCCCTGCTCCTAATGTAGAGCTAGAACTACTGCTACCGTGGAATCCGCGGTCACACATAAGTATCTCGCCTTCCAAAAAAAGCGGCTGCTAATTAGCACTAATGCTAATGGGGACCATCGATCAAGAAGGACTTCGGAGACTGCAATCGAATTGATCAAAAAAGAGAAATAGGGCCAACTCTTCTAGTTGCGCCTCTAACCTTACTACGCTACCCTGATAAAAGGTCGAATTCAGCAGGACTGCAGGCACGAAATGCCGATCAAATCCGTTAAAGGAAGCCTAATCAAAGCGGGCAAACAAGAAGATCTGACTGAGTTGATGATGGACCGGATCTCGAAAGGCGAGAGGCTTTCATAAAGACGTATGAGAAACGGAGGGTCGAGAGAGGCTTATTGCACGATCCACCCAACCGCTAATAAATGCTGCATAAGATAAGAGAGTGGGAGGCCGGCCCCCGCCCATCTGGAGGTGCACACCCATTTATGAACATATACAAAGGGCTAAAGAGAGAAGTCCATGGAGAACTACCAAATCCAATGACTTTGATTTGTTCGTACCATTCTGTCATCGATCACTGCTGGGTCGGTTGGTGAGTCACCCAAAAAAAGCATCGAGAAAGGTCAAGCATATATGTTTTATGAAATGATCAGCGGTTTCATTTATGCTATGCCCTGCATCGTGTTCGTCTGTGTTTATTGAGCTTTCAGCGCCATGCGCTTTGCTTCGCTTTATAAAAGAGAGAGAGCCTTGTCTTGAGAGTGAAAAGAAAGGGCAAGCGATAGAAAGGATAGTCCCTCGCGCGTTCGCGAGAACTACTAGAAAATGGTGAGATCATTAGATCATTAGTGAAAGAAGGACCAACGACGATCCTATCCTAAAGGAGAAGAAGGAGTAGGAGGAGTCAGTTTTCTTTGAAGATCGAGGAATCAATCTCCCAATTATGCCATTCGGAAGAAGTCTTCTACAGAGGGAAAGCCTGTTACGAGTAAGTGGAGAGGAAAGATCTCCAGAGATTCTTATCTCATTCCATTCCAGTGGCTCAACCAGTAACCAATGGCGAAAACTAAAAAATCCATGGTTTCCCGGTAGAACCCTATTTCGCCCAAGTTGTTTCAGAACCGGAAAAAAGAAGCGGTTTTTCGCACAGCTTGCGCATAGTGCAGGTCCCACTTGTATATCGTATTTGGCCGAAGAAGCATCGGACAGGTTGGAGTTCTTACCTTCTTGGGATTCCATGGACCAAGATCTGCTTTTATTATATGGGCAATACCGATCTACTTTAGTAGATCATATGGATGTAGAAAAAGCTTCTCATTTTGATGAATTGGAAACATCTCTTTTCCATTTCTATTTACCCAGTTCATATCTTTGTTTCGTGTGTTCCCCGGAGGAATTCGATCTCTTCAATCTCGGGATACCACCTAAATAACTATAACTGCGGCCAGAGAGTCAAATAGGTCGGGAAGAAAGAGTCTGAGGTTGGGTTGGACGACATACATCTTGGTTGGTCCCACCACCACTGGGGATTGGACATATATAGAATCTTTCTTCTAAAAAAGTCTTATTATATATATATATAATTTTATATTCTTATTTATTTAAATAGCTGCAAGACCACAAAACGGGGTGAAAAAAACCGAAAGCCCTTCTTTTAAGTTCCTCCCAGATACATGGCTTACATACCCGGCTCAACATTCTTGGAAAACAATCGAATCGAGGGTCCGGAGGAGAATTGGCCATTCAATCTTGTGAACTAATCGAGACCGAAATTGGAGAAAGAGATACGAACGGAAAGGAATAACCAATCGATGAAAGAACATGAAACCATTCTGTTTCAATAGAGGTACGAGAAAGGGTTGGGGGCAATGAAGTAGGTGAAGTGGTTGGATTTTGCGAGCTGTTCCCACCACTGCTGGATGTGATTCCAAGAGCCGAACGAGAATGAATACCACACAGAAAAGTCAAGACCAGGCTCCCTAATGGAATGTTTAACCGATCCATTCCGGATCGACCGAATTGGTACGGAAGTTGTAACATGGGAAAACCACGGAAAACACGACTTATTTGAATAACCCGGTGACCTACCAATTGTAGAAGTAGGATTTTTGGCAAGCAATAAGCACTTAAATAATACAATTCAAGTGTACCATCTTCTTTCTCATTTCGAGGAAAAGGTGCGGAAGGAAAAGGAAACAACGGAGGGATCCGAATCGGACCTAAATGGGAATGACATGAAAAGTCTTTTTCAAAACCTAGCATTAAGGGCGTTACGACGATATATGAGAGGAATGGAGAAAAACTCGTGATTGGTGTGGAGGGGAAGGTCTGTTTATAATATAGTTCAAGAAAGAGTCGTCTCATTTCCTTACTTCTTCGTTCTTTCTAATTCATTCACTTCAAGACTGGTTCTGAACGCCGCGTAACATCATCTTCAACCAACCTCCATCGTACCGGTGCGACCACTAAAGAATTGCTTATACACTAAACAGCTGCTTATATACGCTTACTAAAAGACTGACTTTTATTCATATTCAATTCATTAGGCCAGCGTGAAACTAAGAAAGATAGATGTGCCTAAGGCGTAAGCAAACTGTGCACGCTAAGAGAAGAGGAGAGATGTTCGCAATGACTACCACAAGAAAGCCGCCCCCTCTCTCTAAAAGGGCCCGTCACTTCGTTCGTACCTTCTTGGCTTAGGCTTGCAACTTCACTTACTTTATGGCCTTGCCGCCTTTTTATAGCAGAAGCTAAGCGCTTGAAAAGCGCGCTAAGAAAGGTTGCTTCTGTCGGCCTTTATGTGCAACAGTCCACCAGTAGCGGAAGATAGGGTTACCGTACATACAAGAGTCTTCCAGTTCTTACGGAAGCTCTTTCTTACCAGTCAAGTAGTACAACAGCTGTCTCTTATCTTATAGCCCGGCGCGGCGGGTCGCCTTTTTAATTCAGTAGATAGAAGAAAGTATTAGATAAGGAGTAGGTGAGTGAGTCCTCGCTGACCTGAGCGATTTCGATCACCTAGCAGGCCTTTTCTTTGGTAGGTAACATCGCCAAAGCGTATCATCAGATTTGACTACGAAGGAAGGAACTCGGCAGAAGATCGGTCTGCAAGAAAGGCCTACTTATCCACGGGTTCATTGACAAAACCGCCGTAGGAATGGAGACCTTTCAATAGAGCGGAGGCGAACTGATCAACGAGAAAGAGGCCCTACTCACTACAAAGGAATACACCACAAGATCGAACTGCACTCATGCCTCTCCCGCATCAAGTTGACCGCCAGACTGGAGCTTCGTAACATGTTGACGAAGACCTCCGAACTGAGGGTTCGGTCAGTACAAGAGACTACTTTGTCTCCTCGGAAGAAGAATAGCCCCGCTCTCTAGCCGACTGATCCCGTTGATCAAACTGGGAGGGAACGTGTCACATTAGAGGTGAACGATCAGAGGTGTCCTCTAATCACTACGATGAGCTGGTCCCTCTTTTAGTAGACTCAGCTATGAATATTCATGAAAAAATGAATGCCTCTTTCACAGCTAACCCCATTTTCTTAATGCCGAGACTTTCTCTTTCGTCGAGCCCCGAGCTTGTGGTCCTCCTTTGAGTTTGGGTTCAATTGGATGAATCTGTCAAGTCAAGGTCAACGTACGTAGCAGCAAGGATGGTGCATCGCCTCTTTCTCGTTCTCGCTCGGGAGCCAAAACGAACACGCCTGCTACCTACTGTACTGGACCTTCGACCAGGCATTCTACCTTTGTCGAATCGGAACCAATACCACTGCATTGCGCTCGAACAGTTGAGCGGCCGCCGGCCCTTCCGTGCACAGATATAGATTCATTCTTCGTACCTGGTCCAGCCTCACAACCCTTCGCGGGTTGGTAAGAAGTCAGTCTTGTTTGGTAAGACGGAATTTTACAAAGAAAAGAGAGTGCTCGCCCCGGCCAACAAAGACCGTAATTACATAGATAACTGCTCCTCCCCTTCTCCGTCTTTAAGGCTTTAAGGCGAACCGTATGGCGGCTGGAAATAAAGACGACCTCACCTTCTCGTAGATGGTGTCAGTGAGAGCCATTTTAGTACCCCCCGTTGACCTTTTTTTGTAGATAGAATCTTCAATGAGTGGAAACAAGCAACCTTACTAAGCTAAGAAAGGTGCTTGTTGAGTAAGGCCGGCTTTCTTCGAATGCTTGAGCGCTTCTTTCTCATATCGATCATTCAATATCCTTGACTTTTCAATAAGGGGCGCGTTAGCTAGGCCGTTTTCTTGCAGGAGTGCTAGCGCGCGCCCTTACGTTTTCTTCGCTTGCTCTGCAGTACGAGCCTCATACAAAGCCGCGCCCCTTTAATATGATGAAGAGGGGCCGCCCTCTTTTCTTTTCCGCACCAATCCTTATTTACTACTACATCTTTTTTGGGGTGTATAGCTCAGTTGGTAGAGCATTGGGCTTTTAACCTAATGGTCGCAGGTTCAAGTCCTGCTATACCCAAACCTAACTTGCACTATACTATGAGTAAGGATGCGTAGTAGCGCAAAGAGCACTCTTTGGCCTTTAGATTAGAGGCGCTTCGCCGTCTTTGATTGGATGGAAACATCTATCTAAAGTGTGCAGTGAAGGAGAAGAGTAAATAGTAGGGGAAAGAAGAAAATGGCACATTGACATTCATCTTCCTCTCGAAGGGCTTTGAGAAGAGGGGCAACAGTGAAGATACCGAGACCGTGTCTATGGGGTCTTAGTAAGAATCTGTTGCAAGCAAATGCATGTAAGGGAGGAATGCCCGCATTAAGATTTAAAACTTGTCGTCTACTTGAAGGAAATGTTTGGAACAGGAAACTTACAATAATACAACGCCGCATTCTTCGAAGATTGAGGAACAAGACGAGATCTATTAAGAGAATGATTTATTCTCGAAAAAATCTGAATAGTTACATCCAATTACAAACTACACGAAAGTTGCCCCTTGATTTGAATTTTATCTTTGTTATCAGTACCTTTTTTTTTTTCATTAGCTTTGGCGTTCCGGTTGCCTTTAGCGCCGGCGAGAGTCTTTCAGCCGTACCTTCCCATTCGGATTGGTTTACCTTTACCGAGGATATGCTGGAAGACTCAGCGAGTTCCGGGCGTAGTAGTAGTACCTCAGCGGTAAATCAACCGCTTCCGGGGGAACAAGCTACGCCTCCCGCTCTTCCGGGAGCTCGGACTCCGCCCTACACCCCCTACCCCTATGGCCCAGAGGAAGTGATAGGAGGGGATTCGGTCCGCTCTATAGAGGGCCGCCTCCTGTCGGGCAAAACAGCGCCTTCGTCGCTAGATATATATCTAGCCCGGATCAACGCCGAGGACCTATTCGAGGTCAAGGTGGATATCATCCGGGAGATGGCGGGCCTGCATCCAAGTGGCGATTGGCTGGGGCGGGGGGCTCGAGCCCTCGATAATCCGAGGGGGAAGGAGTCCTTGGGGGAGCTCCTTCAAATGCGTAGAGACCTACGGGCTAGGAATTTGAAATCCGAGACCTTCGGCCTATTAAAGGAGAAGGTTTTCCTTAGGGATACCCCCCCCTCAGAAGGCTCTTCCGTATAGTCCCGCGATCCACAAACGGATGCATGGGACTATGCCTTCCTAGCCGCGTGCAGCCTACCTGCAGGAGACCGTAACGTCAGTCACTAAGTACTCCATACATGGGAAATGAAAGCAGAATTCGTTCGGATCCTCCCACATGTTCAATCTTTTTTAGCGGTTTCCCCAGAGATCTTTATCATTAATGAAACCTTCATTTTGCTTATTCATGGAGTTGTATTTAGTACGTCTAAGAAATTTGATTATCCACCGTTAGTCAGTAATGTGGGTTGGCTTGGATTACTTAGTGTTGCGCGCCTACGAGGGCAGCGCGCTTTGGGATGCGGAGGAGCTATTATCGCCCAATTCCCTAACCTAATGCGGCACCGGGTTCGGACCGCAGGGAACCGTAGCATGGGGGCTTAGAATCCTTTTGTTGCCGTAAGGCTGGCTAATCGTACGCAGCAGGCTCGAAGACCCCTGGTTCTGAAAGGCACATGAGTCTGAATGCTATGTTGAATGTGCGACCTACACTAGGTAGGTACCTGTGCAGGTGAGGCGTCGGTCGGTCCTAGAAACGGCGGCAGCGGGGTGAGGAGTTCACGACCGAACGTCCTGCAACCTAGGGATCACCATGCAGCTCTTTCGCTCTCTAGGGATCGGGGGGGCATAGCACAATTCTTCTTGGAGGAGGGTTGGTTTTCCCGGGTGACTGATCCTGCCATAATGTAATCCTACCTATACTATAGCACCGACACCCGAAGTAGAGCATACATACGACGATCTTCATGCGTGAATAGCGGGGAGGAAAGAAAGGGCGGTAGATGATAATGAGAAAAGGCGTCGCGTCTGGGCGGGCGGAATGGATGAGCGAAAGGTGTCATGCCATGGAGTGGGTAATATCCCGAGTCTCATGTAAGACAACTAAATGCACCTCGAGGTGCTGCCGAGGAACTGAGGGACCTTCTCGAGCACAGGATAGGTAATTGAGAGATAGAGCTAGCCTATTCGTTATGGGGAATCAATGCTCCGGGCCGAATAGAGCTTACCTACGGCACCTAGGTTTCTCCGGCGCATATTAGCTTAGCTGCGCTTAATAGGCCGGTTTGCCTTCCTCTCTGGCAGCCTCCTTACCTTACCCCCGCTACACTCTCACTCCAAGCTACGCCTGTTGAGCAAGATGCATTGTGATTTCCTCTTCTGTGGACGCACCTATGACCCGGGACGGGAAGAGAAAGACTTTTTTCTACGGCGAGCTTTCTCTAGTAAAGCCAAAGACGCCCCAAGACAAGTTCCAACTGTTGGGAAGGGGACATGATCAATAGAACCTGGCTGGATCCGGGCTGGGAGAGGGGCGCCCATTCCTAACCACTTTCAAAAAGGTTCGCTCATTCTGGAGGGAGCATCCCCACTTAGTGATCGGTCCGCTAGTTCACGCAAATCCGAAGAAGTTATCACGGACGAGCCACATGCAGGGAAACTTGCACGTGTGGTTCTGGCCGGGCTTTCCTGAGGTATCTAATAACCTTGCTTCTGCTCGCCGCTGGCGCACCTCTCCTAACTATTGCCCATTTATTCTGGAATAATCTTTTTAGGAGGGACAATTTTACATATTTCTGTCAAATCCTTCTATTATTAAGTACGGCTGGTACCATTTCGATGTGTTTCGATTCTTCCGAACAAGAGAGGTTTGATGCTTCTGAATCCATTGTATTAAGTCCACTTCCTACTCGCAGTATGCTCTTTATGATCTCGGCTTATGATTCAATTGCCATGTATTTAGCTATTGAGCCTCAAAGTTTATGTTTTTATGTGATCGCAGCATCAAAAAGAAAGTCTGAATTTTCCACGGAAGCCGGCTCGAAATATTTGATCTTAGGTGCATTTTCCTCAGGAATCTTATTGTTTGGGTACGACCGGACAACTACCGATATTTATTAATATCTTTTCTTAGAATGTTGTTGTTAAATATATATCTATCTATATCGTAAACTATCGGATCGAGTATTACTTAGATGTGAAACTTGCGGACCTCATTGGTTGTGATATTGATCTTACGGGGGGAACGAAATCAAAGAATATATAGACTGACTTGTAGAGACCCTCTATGTAGTTGTCTATCTAGGGTGATCGATCTACATCTTTCCCCATAGCCCTGGGTCTGTATCTCGATCTCCTATGTGTGAAATCTAAGGGACTTGTTCCTATGGAGATTCCCCTTGGTCTAATTCCACGCCTTATGACGAAAGGGGAGTCGGCGTGGCGTAAAGTGCAGATTGGGGGGAGTAGATAAAAATTCCCTTCTGGGGTATTCCGAAGGTGTAACCTAGGCAACAAAAAAGGGGCCCGATACTTCAGATGTCATCATCGACCCTTTAACCCAATAGGGGCCCGATAAAAATTCCCTTCTTTAAGTCTTCCCTTCTTTAAGTCTTCTCTTTAAGTCCAAAAAAAGGAGGAGGAAACGTAGTACCAAATGCTTGGAAATCCTTGGTAGAGCTTATTCATGATTTCGTGCTTAACCTGGTAAACGAACAAATAGGGGGTCTTTCCGGAAATGTTAAACAAAAGTTTTTCCCTTGCATCTTGGTCACTTTTACTTTTTTGTTATTTTGTAATCTTCAGGGTATGATACCTTATAGCTTCACAGTTACAAGTCATTTTCTCATTACTTTAGGTCTCTCATTTTCCATTTTTATTGGCATTACTATAGTAGGATTTCAAAGAAATGGGCTTCATTTTTTAAGCTTCTTATTACCCGTAGGAGTCCCACTACCATTAGCACCTTTTTTTAGTACTCCTTGAGCTAATTTCTTATTGTTTTCGCGCATTAAGCTTAGGAATACGTTTATTTGCTAATATGATGACCGGTCATAGTTTAGTAAAGATTTTAAGTGGGTTCGCTTGGACTATGCTATGTATGAATGATATTTTGTTTTTTATAGGGGATCTTGGTCCTTTATTTATAGATCTTGGTCCTTTATTTATAGTTCTTGCATTAACCGGCTGGGCGTACGAGTTCCACGATGAAACCCTAATATTTAGGGTTAGGGTGGTATATAAGTGTCCTTATGAGCTCAATACCCTCTATCCTTCCAGCTTCCATAGTTTTGAGCCGTTTTCCCCAAACACTAGCCTCTCTTTTGTGTGTGTGAGCTAAAAGTGTGCCTCTTGGGTAATTGAAGAAGAAGTTAGTGCATCAAAGGAGTCAAGGAAGGAATCAAGCTTGTAGATCTGGAGTTATCACCATCTTGGGAAGCTTTAGAAGGTATAAAGCTTCTACCTTTATGCTTGGATTGGTTAGATCTTTTTTTAGTTACTTTATGGTATTCTTCTTGTCCCAAGAGTCCCAATATTGCGCATGCTTTGTTTTGGTCGAGTTAAGTTGTCCTTTCAGACCCTAGGATGGCTCCTAAGGCATAAAAATGAGGTCCCTTGAGCTAGTTTGGTCCCTAGTTCTATGTAGGAAGTCTTAATGGATTAAGACCATGTATTAAGCCCTTTTTAGTCGACCAAAGTCTTAAAGTTTGAGACTTTATGGTTTTAGAGCACATTTGAGTAGTGGATCTGAAATTTGGGCTTAAGTGCTTAAGCCATTAAGCACTTATCATGATTTTGGTTACGCCCCGCGTAAGGCTGCATACGCCCCGCGTTCGGAGTCAACCACCCCATAAGTGGTCAATACGAGGGGTACGCCCCGCATACGTTCCCTGTTGGGCTTCGGACTTTGGGCTTCGGATATTGGGCCATCTGTTGGGCTTTGATACTTGGGCCCTAATGGTTTATCTGGATGGGTGTGTCTTGGGCTAAGTAAAGGATCGGACCTTTGGATAAGGCCCAATAAGGATTTGGGCCCAATTTGGAAAATTAGGCCAAGTGTGGGCTTGAAATGGTTTGGACCTTTGGATCAAGATTTGGGTTTTGGCTTGCATTGGGTTGTAATGGACCGTCTGGATTTTATGGTTTGGGCTTTTATCTTGCTGGATCTTCTTGAGTGAAGGCCATTAGGACCAATTTAGAAAATTAGGCCATAATTGGACTTAAGGAGTTTTTTTGATTTTGGACCTTTTGTCATTTAGTTTGGGCCTTGGTTTTGCGCCAAGCTTGAGGAAGGGTAAAAAGGTCTTTTACCCTGAATTGGATTCATAGTATGAGTCAGTGGTTATATATTGATGGATTGTCATTTTGGAATCTGTTAGCGCGTGTGTGATAGCGGACCTAAAGTCAGAGAGTATTCAGGGAATCAGCTTTGTTGGGGTGTTGTCTTGATGATGGTGGTTTGGGATCTGGCAGTCAGCAGTCAGGGATGATGTTATGTTTAGTGATATGTTAGATCTGTATCCTGGTTATAGGATGATGCTATGTTTAGTGATCTGTTAGATCGGTATCCTAGTATATAGGATGATGCTATGATTAGTGATATGTAGGTCTGTATGACTGTCTGCATATGCTAGCTAGTGTATGATATTTATGTGTTGATTGTGTGATTGCGGGTGGGTTGAGGCGGTCCTGCTTTGTGCTCTAGGCCAACATACCCAGGGCGGCCCAGATAGACTGAAAGCCCATCGGTGCATAGCAGTTAGGCCGAAGGCCCGGAGAACGGTCCAGACAGGCTGATGGCCCGGGAGGGCGGACCAGACATGCTGAAGTTTCTGAGAGTAGGCCAGATAGACTGAAGGCCCGGTGAGTGCGGTCCAGACATACTGAAGACTCTGAGAGTGGACCAGATAGACTGAAGGCTCGATGAGGGCGGTCCAGTCATACTGAAGACTCTATATGCATGTTGTTTGTTATATGATATTGTTCTGGTTTGTATGGCGTTGATATTTTGGGGGAACTCACTAACTTTCTGGCTTACAGTTGTTGATTTTGTTTTAGGTACTTCGGATGATTATGGGAAGGCGAAGGCGTGATTGTGCACCTCCTCACATTTTATGACTTTGATTTATAGGATTCTCTGATATGAAACTATTTTGAAAACATTTTTTAATAACTAATGGTTTTTGGATGTTTGAAAAAGTTTT